TGGCTAGTCTGCAATAAAATGGAGGGGGGAAATGGAACTTTAATTCTGACAAGACAATAGTGCTTTTAACCAAGAGTACAGAAATTTAGTCTGTGCTAGATTCTGTTCATTTCATTTCTTGATTTCATTTCTTGAATTTATATCCTGCCTGTCTCTTAAAAGTCTGATCCAAGGCAGCTAACAATGAATTAAAAATGAATAAACCTAAACATTAAATTACAAAAGCGACCCAAAAGTAATAATTTTGTTAAAACATTACTCTCACAGTTAAAATATGTAAAAATACAATGTAAAAACATTGTAAAGTGGTACAAAAGGTCTCAAAACATTTTAACAGCACACCAAATGTATATACACACTACAACACCATAATTAAAATTTACTATTCAAATGCCTACCTAAATAAACAAAAAGCCCACAAGAGGGCTAATAAGACTTTCTATAGAAGGTATTTCCATAATTTGTGTAAAAAGCAAACTACAGTTTTGTTTTTATTTAAATACCACGTTTCAACCAATTGTTTCTAAGTTTATTTACATAAAACTATAAATCAAAATAGCCTTTGTATCTATGCATGTCTTAACACTATTCTGACAGTCTACAATCTCCATTAATACTCAGAGGAATTAAGACATATTTTAAATGCTCTTCTCAAAGTCCATTTCTAGTGTCTCCATCCACTCTTCATCTACTGTGCTCCATACCATCATGGAGAATTGTTCTGTTCAGGTAAAATGGGTTACTGGCCAGTCACTGCTCTGTTTAGAAAAAGTGGGTTACTGGCTTTCATACAAGAGGGGGGGGAAACCTTAAAACAATTTTGGTGTTCTTCAAAATAAGGCAAATATTAGCTGAACTCAATGAGAATCAGTCCCAGGTAAATAAGCAAAAATCTGCAAGTTAAAGCAATTACCTTAAACTGCTGTGTTCCAGGTTCCAGTGGATATTCAATTAGGTATGGGTGGTTACAACACTTCCTTAATAGCATCATAATGTTCTGCAACTTTATGTTGACTTCTGAATCCAAAGGCATATTCATTTCAATCACTGGTCTTACGAATGACAGGAGAGTTTGTAAGCATGAAAGAATAAAAATTACTTTTAAGCACATTTAGGACATTGATGATAGAAAGTTTCATAACTTTCTATCATCATGATAAAGAATGAAGACTATCTTCAGACATATAGTCCAGAAATAAAGTTAGAATTATGCAAAGCAAATCCCTTCTGCAAATATAATGCAAGTCTCTACCTTACAAGTAGGAGC